CACGGACCGGTCCCCGGGTAGGCGGTCGCCCGGCGCAGACGCGGCCTCGCCCGCCCGCGTTGCCCTCGCGCGGTCGGTTCGTCGGAGGTGCCTGCCGCGGGTGAGTCCCCCCTCGCCCCCCCCGCTCGTTCGCTCACCGGCCGGGGGAAGGTTGTGCCCCGGCCGCTACGGCTCTCGAGTCCGTCGCCGGGGTCCCTTTCTGCCCCCAGAGGGTCGACCAGCTATCCCTGTGGGCTCGGATCGTGTCTCTGATGGGACTCCCTGGACACGGGTGGCCGGGAACTCGTCCGGGAGGCCGCCGTCACCGGTGGACTCGCCCGCTCCGGGCACGCACTTTAGCTGGGGCACGCGGCGTTTTGTACCTGCAGGTTAAGTCTGACCACCTGTCCCTCGGTGGTTTGTCGCGAGGGGTGGACGGAGCCGCTCTCCTCGGACGCCCGTCTCATGTGGCTTTTTCTGCCCCCTCGCGCGGCTCGGGAGCCCGTAAGTGCCGCGCGCAGGCTCTTGGACGTCCGAGTGCTTCCGATCTCGAGGCCGCCTCCGGGTTCCGACATCGACGGCGACCCGGAGGTGTTCGTGTGGCGGGCGGACGAGGCGCCGGCGGGGGCCCTCTGCTCCCCGCGCGCTTCCCCGCCACGGGCCTCGGTGAGCGGCGTTTGGGACAACCCGGACTTTTCCGTGGACCTTTGGCGGGCCCCGGTGCCCCTTGCGTGTTCAGGCGTTCCCGTGCTCTGGGTTGCCCGTTCGCTCTCACCCGGGGGGTTCGGGGAGCGGGCGAGGCTTTTTAAAGTTGGGCTTCTTCTTGGTGGCTGTCCTCGCCTGCCTTTTCCTACCCCGGCCTCTACGGCTGCTTTCCTTTTTTTTTTTTTTTTTTTTGGTTATCTGAGCGAGGGGCTGTTTCTGTAAGACCGCCCTGCCACCGCCCCGGCCTCCCGAGTGCTGGTTCCCCGCGCTTTCTGTGTTTTGGTTTTTGTTTTTTGTTTTGTTTTGTTTGGGGCTCTCTCCCGCATTCGCGTGCTTGGGCCATCCGAGGGCTGCTCACGAGTGCTGGGATATACGGCGGGCGTGCGCACCGCGCTCGAACTCTCCCCCTTCCCCCTTTTTTGGCCTTTTACGAGGGGGTTGCCTTTTCCCGAGGCGTCTTCCTGCTCGCTGCTGTTTTGGTTTTGTCTCGTGTTTGAAACTAGGCTCGCTTTTGTCGTTCCCGACTCGGCGCCCTGCCCTCCCGGGTGGCGGGGTCTGGCCGTTTTCGCCTCCCTTCCTCGCGATCGATGTGGTACGTGGCTCTCCCCGGGCGGGCCTAAGCCGCGCCAGGCGAGGACGGACATTTCACTGGAATGGGACCGCTCTTCTCGTGCTGCAGCGGGCCCCTCGCTTCTCCGCCCCACTGCGGTGTGTGCGGGAGGCAGGGGTGGGTATCCGGCCTGACCTTCGCCTTCCCCGCCCTCTCTCGTGTCGGGGACCCAGACGGCGGGCGAGAGGGATCACCCCTCCGCGCCCTGGTGCCTTGGCGGTGGGTCGGCCCCTCCCGCGGTGGGGCAGGGGCCCCGCGTTTCCCCCGCCGTGCCGCGCGTCCTCCTCGGGCGCGCGAGCCGCGTTCCGTGCGTCGTCGCCCTTCGCGGTGCTCCTGGAGCTCCGGGTCGACTCGAGGTGCCCGAGGCTGAGCGGTGGTGCCGTTCCCGTGTCCCCCGGTTGTCTCTGCTCCGGTCGCCGCTGTGGCGGGGCTTGCCCCGTCCGCGTTGGCGGGCTTCTCGAGGCCATCGGCCAGAGAAAGAAAAGGGGTCGAGGCGGTGAGGAAGAGGGCGGGCGGCGGCGAAGGCCGCCTGCCGCTTCTTGACGGCCGTGTCGCGGGTGCGACTCGGTCCTTGGGGCGGGCGCACGCCCGCGCGCCGCCTCTCCCGGTTGGCCGCGCGCGGGCGTGTCGAGCGATCGTGGCGGGCGTGGGCCTTTCTGCCGTGCCAACCCGGCGGACTGAGCGAAGATAACGTTGAGGTCGCCCCGGCCTCTGACCGCGAGTGCTCGACGTGTGCCCCGTGCTTACCTATACACCAGACCCCCCTCGCCTGGCCACTCCCGCGGACGGATCCCGCCTCTGCGGACCGACGGGGCGGTGGCCGGTTTCGGTCCACCCTCAGTGAGCAAAGTTTCTTCTCTAGCGATCCGAGCGGGGCGTGCTTTGCGAAGAAGGTGGTGGAGGTGCCCGCCTCCCCCCGCGTCTGCCCGCCCCCGCCTACGTTCTCGCTGCGCGAAAGTCAGCCGTCCGACCGCGTCTGTCCCGATCCGATGCGTGCCGCGCCTCCCCCCTCCGAGCTGGGGGAGGGTCCCGCGGGGGGGTCCGGCCCGGTGTCCGGCTCTCTCGGGGGCCGCCCGCGAGCGTGCGCCGAGGTCTCGCTCCGCTGGCGCGTGTGTGTCCGGTGGGGGGGTGTGTTGGGGGTCGGTGGTGTGGCGGACGTCCCGGTCGGTTCCCGCCCCTCCCCTCACCCTCCCGTCGCCGTCGCCGCCGCCGCTGCTGCGCCGCGCCGCCGCCGAGGGGCTCTCCGCCCGCTCCCGTCCCGTGTCGCCGGCCGTTGGCGCCGACGGCGGTGTGCCGGCGCCGGCGTGGGCCCGGGGTGGCCCGTCGCGCCCCTCGCGCCGGGCGCCGCGACGGTGGGGTCCCGTCCCCCGGAGGAAGGGCCGTACGCGTGTGGGTTCTCTCGAGCGAGGCCGCCGAGCGGTCGTCCTCCCGGCGTGGCGGACGTCGGCGGCGAGTCGCGCGTGGGAGTCCCCGTCGACGGGGCTGGTGGACGCGGGCGTTCTCTCCTCGCGGGAGGAGTGACTCCTCCCGTGGGGGGTGCTCTTCGGACTCCGCCGGGCTCCGGCTTCTGGGCGTCGCGGGCGATGCGGAACCGCCCCCGTGGGGGGCGGTGGGATCCCGCCTGGTTTTCCCGGCGCGCCCCGGGCCGTGCGCTCCCGGGTCTCTCCCCGTCCGCTTCCCCGTCCGTGGGGGGCTCCCGTCCGCCCTCGCCGTCGCCGATCCTCGCCGTGCGCCCCGGGCGACCGGTCGCCGTGAGACGGTCGGTGACGTGTGCGGGGTGGAGCCAGCGACCGGCTCTGCGAGACGCGGGCTCGGCCTCGACGAGCGTCGCCGTGGGTCCGTCGCCGACGCGGGGTCCGGGTCGGTCCGTCCCGTGGTGGGGGCTCGCGCGCGGACCGCGATGCGCCGCGGGGGCGCTGGCGGTGAGATTCCCGTGCGTGGTCCCGGACCGGGCGGAAGGCCGGGCTCCCCGAGGCGGTCGTTCCCCGGCCGACCTCGCGGGTGACGGTGCCGCGTCCCCGCGGCCCTTGTGACGGCCGCCTCCCGCGCCGGGGGTTGGCGTCCGCCACGTTCGCGTGCCGCCCGTCTCGAGTTTTCTCCCTCCGCCCGGCTTCTCCGATCCGGGGGCTCGCTTTCCCGCTCGTCGCGTGTCGCCCGCCGTTGGTGGGGACGCGCGGCGGCCCCGGGTCCTCCGCCCCGCCCCGCCCCGCCGGCGCGGCGTTAGGTGCCCGCGGAAGTCGGGGCGCCCCGTCCCCGCCCCCGGCCCGTCGGTGAGTCGAGTGTGGCGAGGCCCTCCCGTCCCGCCGCGCGCGCGTGCGGGGGCGGGTCGGCGCGGACCCGGGTCCTCCGCCCGCGCAGTCGTCGTCGTCGCCGGCGGCGTGGCGTCGTGCCCGCCTCGCGCGTGCGGGGTCGTTCGGGAAGGGGCGCGGGGAGGAGGGCGGGTTTCGGCCCCGCTTCCTCCCCGACCCCCGCCCGCCCTCCCCGCCGCGCGTGGCGAGTCGTCCCGTCGACCGGCGGCGAGCGCCCTGCGGCGCGATCGGCGCCGGCCGGTCCCCGCGGCCCGCGTCCTTCCCCGCCCGCCGCCGCCGCCCGCGGTACGCGGGGTGCGGCCCCCCGCCCCCTCACCCGTCGGCCGCGGTCGGCAGGTCGCCGCGCCCCTTCCGCCCGCCGCTCCGCGCCGCCCTGCGCGCGCCTCGCCCCGCGGCCCCGCGTCCCGGGGTGCGTCCCGGCGGAGCGAGCCCGTCCGCCCGGCGGCGGTAGACGGACGACGGACCGACGGACGGACGCGGGTGTCGCGGGTCGGGTCGCCGACCGGCGCACGCGCCCGTCCCTCCGCCTCCGCCGCCTCCCCCCGCCCGCGCCCGCCCGCGGCCTCTCCGCGGGGCGAGACCAGACCTCGCCGTCGGGCCCCGGCCCCCGTCCGTCGTCCCGGCGCTCAGGCTTCCCGGTCCCCGGCTACCCTCGCTTCGCTCGCGTCCCCTACCTGGTTGATCCCTGCCAGTAGCATAATGCTGTCTCAAAGATTAAGCCATGCATGTCTAAGTACGCACGGCCGGTACAGTGAAACTGCGAATGGCTCATTAAATCAGTAGTGGTTCCTTTGGTCGCTCGCGTCCTTTCCTACTTGGCATAACTGTGGAATTCTAGAAGCTAAATTACATTGCCGACGCGCTGACCCCCTTCGCGGGGATGCGTGATTATCAGATTCAAAACCAAACCCCGGTAGTCCCTCCCCGGCCCGGCCGGGGCGTTGCGGGCGCCGGGCGGCTCTGGTGGCTCTAGATACACCTCGGGGCAACGAATCGCACGCCCACCCCAGTGGCGGCGACGACCCATTCGAACGTCTGCCTATCAACTTTCGATGGTAGTCGCCGTGCCTACCAGGTGACCACGGGGTGACGGGGAATCAGGGTTCAGATTCGGAGAGGGGAGCCTGAGAAACGGGCTACCACAATCAAAGGAAGGCAGCAGGCGCGCAAATTACCCACTCCCGACCCGGGGAGTAGTGACGCAAAAATAAACAATACAGGACTCTTTCGAGGCCCTGCTTAATTGGAAGGAGTCCACTTTAATCCTTTCGCGAGGATCCATTGGGAGGGCAAAGCTTGGGCCAGCAGCCCGCGGTAATCCAGCTCCAATAGCGTATCTTAAAAGTTGCTGCAGTTAAAAGCTCGAGTTGAACTGGAGACGGGCGGGCGGTCCGTTCCGAGCGCGCGCGGAGGAGGGAGGGACGGCGGGCGGGCGCGCCGGGCGGGTGCCACGGGCGGGAGGGCCCGGGCGGGACGCGGGGCGGAGGCCGACCGAGTGGAGGCGGCGGAGGGCCCGGCGGGGGCGGCGCCGGAGGCGGGGCGAGGACCGAGGCGATCACCGCCGTCCCCGTCCTTGCCTCTCGGCGCCCCCTCGATGCTCTTAGCTGAGTGTCCCGCGGGCCCGAAGCGTTTACTTTGAAAAAATTAGAGTGTTCAAAGCAGGCCCGAGCCGCCTGGATACCGCAGCTAGGAATAATGGAAAGGACCGCGGTTCTATTTTGTTGGTTTTCGGAAACTGAGGCCATGATTAAGAGGACGGCCGGGGCATTCGTATTGCGCCGCTAGAGGTGAAATTCTTGGACCGGCGCAAGACGGACCAGAGCGAAAGCATTTGCCAAGAATGTTTCATTAATCAAGAACGAAAGTCGGAGTTCGAAGACGATCAGATACCGTCGTAGTTCCGACCATAAACGATGCGACCGGCGATGCGGCGGCGTTATTCCCATGACCCGCCCGGGCAGCTTCCGGGAAACCAAAGTCTTTGGGTTCCGGGGGAGTATTGGTTGCAAAGCTGAAACTTAAAGGATTGACGGAAGGGCACCACCAGGAGTGGAGCCTGCGGCTTAATTTGACTCAACACGGGAAACCTCACCGGCCCGGACACGGACAGGATTGACAGATCGATAGCTCTTTCTCGATTCCGTGGGTGGTGGTGCATGGCCGTTCTTAGTTGGTGGAGCGATTTGTCTGGTTTAATTCCGATAACGAACGAAGACTCTGGCATGCTAACTAGTTACGCGGACCCCCGAGCGGTCGGCGTCCCCCAACTTCTTAGAGGGACAAGTGCGTTCAGCCACCGAGATTGAGCAATAACAGGTCTGTGATGCCCTTAGATGTCCGGGGCTGCATCGCGCGCTACACTGACTGGCTCAGCGTTGCCTACCCTACGCCGGCAGGCGCGGGTAAACCCGTTGAACCCCCATTCGTGATGGGGATCGGGGATTGCAATTATTCCCCATGAACGAGGAATTCCCAGTAAGTGCGGGTCATAAGCTTGCGTTGATTAAGTCCTGCCCTTTGTACACACCGCCCGTCGCTACTACCGATTGGATGTTTAGTGAGGCCTCGGATCGGCCCGCCGGGGTCGGCCCACGGCCCTGGCGGAGCGCTAGAAGACGGTCGAACTTTGACTATCTAGAGGAAGTAAAAGTCGTAACAAGTTTCCGTAGGTGAACCTGCGGAGGATCATTAACGGACGAACCCCGGGCCGCGAGGAGGAGGGTCGTCGGTCGTCGGCGTCTTCCGTCTCCGCGTCCGTGGCCGTTCCCGTTCCCGCTCGCCGGAGCCGGGCCCTCGCGGATCGCCGCGTCCGCGTGTCGGGGGTGGGCGGGGGAGATCGAGGGAGAAGGGGGGCGTCTCGGACCGCCCGCGCCCTCCCTCCCTCTCCCTCCCTCCTTCGCTCGCCACCCACCGCGGGCCGGCTTTCCGCTCTCGGGGCGCGTCTCGCGCGTGTGTCCGGGGCATCGGGGGCGGACCTCGAGCGTTCGCTTCCCCGCTCCTCCCTCCGAGTCTCCCGCCGCGCGCGGCTCTCGCGGGCCGCCGGTCGCCCTCGGGCGCCGCGCCCGGGGAGGTGCGGCGCGTTCTGCGGTGGCGCCGCCCGCCCGTACGCGGGTGGTCCGTTCGGAGCCCCCGTCCGTTCGCGCCGTCTCCCGCGGCGCGGCCGCCCCCACCACGCCGTGTGTGGGGGTGGCGGGCCGTCTCGCCTCCCCTCGGCCGGCCGTTTCTTCCCGCCCGCCGCCCGCCGGCCGCCTCGCCCTCCGGTCTCTTTCTCCGCGTCACCCGTCGCCCCGCGAGCGCTCCACCCGCCTCCCGCGAGCGGCACGCCCCTTCCTCCCCCACCGCGCGCCGCTCGCTCGGGCGCGTCGTGGAAGGAGAGGCGGGTCCCGGGATCCGCCGCGGGTCTGCGGCCGGGGCCGAGGAGGTGAGGCGTGGGAGGGAAGCGCGGGCGGAGCGTGGAGCGGCCGTGGGGGGGGCGTGCGTCGCTCCGCGTCGCCGGGGGCCTGGCGGCGCCGCAGGCCGGTCCCGCGTGTCCCGCGCCGTGCAGGCGGTGGTGGGGGAGCTCGAGGGGGCCGGTGGAGCCGGCTCCGCTCCCGATCCCGCCGTCCCTCCCCGCCTCGCCGTCCGCCGCTCCTGTCCAGGTACCTGCGCGTTCCGCGCCGGGGAGGTTAAAGACCCCTCGGGGTCGCCCGTCCGCCGCGGGGTCGGGGCGGGGGCCCGCGTGAGTCGTGGGCCGCGTGATGGGGCGTCGTGCGGTCCGGGGCCCCGTTTCCCGGTCCGCTCTCTCTCCCCACACACATCACACGCCGCTCTTTCCCGGTTCTCCTCCGGACTCCGCCACCCAAACCCCCACACTGGGGCCAGGTCGGCGGCGGGGGTGGGCCGTGGCGCCCGGGCGCCGCGCGCCCGCGGCGGCCCCCGCCGGGGTCTTGGCGGAGACCCTCGGGACCGTCCGCCGTGGTGCCGCGCGTGCGCGCGTCGCTTCGCGCTGTCCGCCTCTCCGTTCCGCTCTGGGTCCCGTGTGGGCGGTGTGGAACCCCCCGGGCCGCTGTGGGGTTCCGGGCCGCCGCAGGGCGCTCGCCCGCTCGCGCGGCCGTGGCGCGGAAGAGCGGATCCGGCCCCCCCGCGTCTCGTTCTCTTCCCGACCCCAAAAGCTGTTCTCGTCTCGTCGTCACCTGTGCGGGCCGGACCGAGGCATTCCCCCTCTCTCCGACCGCCCGCGGGGGGGACGGAGAGGGGCTGTTGTCCGGGGCGTCAGCCGGGCGGGAAGGGGCGTGGCGCGCGCGCGGCGTCGGGTGGGGGGGACGGATCGTCCCTCTCCCACGCCGGCGCGCCGCCCCGCCCCGCCGTCCACCTCGTGTAAAAAACTCGTACGACTCTTAGCGGTGTATCACTCGGTCGTGCGCGATGAAGAACGCAGCTAGCTGCGAGAATTATGTGAAATTGCAGGACACATTGATCATCGACACTTTCGAAACGCACTCCTGCGGCCCCGGGTCCTCCGGGCTACGCCTGTCTGAGCGTTCGCCTGACGATCAATCGCCTCCCCCCCGGCCCGCGGTGGTCTGCTTCGAGCTCTCCACGCCGGGGAGGGTTTGTTGTCGCGCGGCGGGGGTTCTTTCGTAGGGCCAAAGGGCCCGACTCTCGTTCCGCGGCCCTCCTCCCCTAAGAGCAGACGAACCGGCCGATCGGTCGCGTCGCGTCACGCTCGCCCGAGACGAGCGAGAGAGCGAGGGTCGCGGCGCGCCCTCCCCGACCGCGGCCCGTGGCCCCGCGGGGAGGCGCTCACGCCGAGCGACGATTCCCCGTCCCGGGCGGCGTTTTCCCCGTCCGGGAAACGGCGTCTCGCGCCGCACCGTGTGTCCGTCTGTTGCTCGCTCCGAGGCCCCGCGGGTCGCGTATTGCGGGTCCGCGCCCCCTGGGACGCACCCCCTCGGCGGCGGCCCGCGGGACGCCGCGTTGCCGTCGCCCGACGCGCGGCTTCCCTCCCGGGGCGCGCCGTCGTCGCGCCGCGTCGCCCCGAGCCACCGCCGACGCCGGCCCGTGTTCCCACCCCGGGCCGCCCTCCCGTCCCTCCCGCCCCGGGGCCGTCCCGCCCATCGCTCCCGCCCCTCCCGCCCCTCCCGGCTCGTCCGGTCGGCCGGCCCGCCGCCCTCCGCCTCCCTCCCGGGGAGGGAGGGCTGGCCTCGCGGACCGGCGGGTCCGAGGAATGAGCGCGGGGGACGGTGGTGGGGGTGGACAAAGAGCGAAAACGGGGTCCTCTGCCCGCTGCGGGGCACCGGGCGGCCGTCGGCGCCGTTGAAAGCCTCGGCGCGTGACCCGCGCGTCACCGCCCCTCCGCGGCGGGTCCGCGCCACGCGCTCCCTCGACTCTCTCCGCGGCTCTGCCGCGTCGCGTGCGCGTCGCCCCGACGACGGGGCCGGCCTTCCATCTCCGGGAGCCCGCTCGCGCGTGGCTTGGCGCGGAGGAGGGGGAAAGGGAAGGAGGTTCCCAGGGGGCGGCGCGCGGGTTTCCGTTTGGGTCGTGGTGGGTGGTGGTGGTGGTGTGTGGTTGGTGCGGGGGAGACGCGGTGTCGTCCGGGTGCGGTGTTCCGGCGCGGACGCGTGCGGTGAGGTCGGTCGCGGACGGTTCCGCCGCCCCCCCTCCCGCGCCTCCGCTCCGCCGCCGCCGCCCGCCCCGGCCCTCCCGCCTCCTCCTCCTCCTCCTTCCTCCTCCTCTCCTCCTCCTCCCACGCAAACCTCCGACGGGGCCTCCCCCGCCCCACCACCGCGCCCCGTCCCCCTCTTTCCCCTCCCGCGCCGCTCCGCACCCCCGGCTCCCCGCCCTCCGAGACGCGACCTCAGATTCAGACCGTGGCGACCCGCTGAATTTTAAGCATATTAGTCAGCGGAGGAAAAGAAACTAACGGATTCCCTCAGTAACGCGAAGTGAACAGGAGAGCCCAGCGCCGAATCCCCGCGCGCGGCGCGGCGCGGGACGTGTGGCGTACGGAAACCCAGCTCCCGGCGCGCTCTGGCGGGGCCCAAGCCTTTGATCGAGGTCCCAGCCCAGCGACGGGGTGAGGCGTTAGCGGCCCCGGGCGCGCCGGGCCCGGGTCTTCCCGGAGTCGGGCTTGCTTGGGAATGCAGTCCCTAAAGCGGGTGGGTAAACTCCATCAAGGGCGAAATACCGGCACGGGGAAAAGAAAACCGATAGCCACAAGTACCGTAGGAAAGATTAAAAGAACTTTGAAGAGAGGTGTCAAGGAGGGCGTGAAACCGTAAGAGGTAAACGGGTGGGGCGCGCAGTCCGCCCGGAGGATTCAACCCGGCGGCGCGCCGGTCGGGCCGTGCCGGCGGTCCCCGCGGATATTTCCCGCTCCCGTTCCTCCCTGACCCCTCCACCCGTCCGCGCGGCCCTCTCCTTCCCCGGTCCCTCCCGGCCCCTCCCCTTCCGCGCGTCGGGGTGGGGCTG